TGCGAGGCAAGGGCATAGCGAGCTAGGATTTTGGCCGGCTTAAGGTGAGTAATAGATGTAAATGATGTCCTGAGGGTTTGAAACCCCGGGTTTGCACATCGTAGTGATATATTGAGGTGACTTGCACGCCGGATAGCGAGCGTGGGGTAGAGCATCGTTGGGGATTGTGACTTGGTCCTTCCCGGTAGATGAATATACTGCGTATTTGACTGAAATTTACTTATTATCATTATAAGTTGAGCTGATTGCTATATTTGGGCTTCGTGCCAACTGATTGAATCCTTCAGGGATTGCTATTACTGGTTTCTTACCATTTGCACAAACATCCAAAATCACCTAACGAAGCTACAGCAACTCTCGAAATTCCATTCCGACCCTCGGATCAAATTCTCACCTATCAACTGGAATTCGCCAAAATACTAACTTCGCGAATTCAAGCCTAATTCTACACCGGACCTCCAAAATTAGTTCCAATCACACTCCTAAGTCACAAGTCATCCCCCAAAGCTAACGGAATCACCGGAAATCACATCCGAGCCCTATAACTCANTATATATATCAAAATCTAGAATAAAGTTACCATATACTATTGACATTTATTAATTTGCCACTTGACTTAATCACAATGCGAATTATATAACATATCCTGTTAGTGATTAGCGGTCCAGGGGTCACCTTCTTTTCCTTTGCAGCAATAATAGTAATGTTTAAAATTTCTGAATAGCAACATTAATGAGGTAATTAACGAGGTATTGAAACACTAGCTGCATGCATATTGTTTTTTCGTTTTCTTCGATTCGAGGTGATTAAGAGCACAAAGTCTTCGAGTCGAACTATATCTATATATAGAGAGAGAAAGAGTCCAAGGCAAAAACAATAGGAGTACGTTCATCTATTTCTTTATAAACTAAAAATCTTCCTTTTCCCCTCCTCCCATTTCCAACCCAATCATTTGAGTTTTTAATGAAAAACATGGATTTCAAAAAGTGGATGTAAGACAAAATATTGCAAATTTTATAAGAACTACTATTAGGTCTTACGTTCAGATTCCAGCGGAGATAAAAATATAAAATATTTTTTTTTATTGATAATCAAGGTTTTTCGATATTGTGCGAGATAACATGCACCCGCAAAATTAGTTGAGAATATACGCCCAAACTCGTCGGACACCACAGTTATTAAAAAAGGACAAGCTGTTGCAACAATCCCGGCATCTTTAAAGGAGTGAATTAACTATTAGTACTTGAAGAAATAATGGTCACCACGAAATTGGGCTACTTATTATATTTAGTGGGATTTCATGGGTCCTCGTATAGTTACGTTGTTGGATGGCTACCATTAAAAGGGAATGAAAGTGGCGTGATTAACATTTAACATGACCAATATTTTATTATTACCACTAAGTTGGTCGAATATTTATTCTATTAGTGTTACTATAAGTGCTAAAAATGAACAATAGGACCCCAAAAAAAAAAGGAATAATAGTACTCTAGCTAATAACGTAATATATCATTTTTAAGTTGCTCTATGTAATGGAACTGTGTTTTGTCGCATTCCCATTTGATTATTACTATCTTATATTACACATTCCTCACATTTTTGCTACATTTAGTACTCCGTACCTAATTTGGTTGTTTTGTGTTGGTTTACCGATTATTTCCATTTTCATCACCATGAGATCTAGCAAAGAAGCTATGTGTTTATTTGAAAATTTTGATTTAATTCTGTATGTGTTAAAAACCCACTAAGTATAAATAATAGTTTTTGAATCGGAATATATTAGAATTAACATTGGAAAACCAAAAATAAGCATTAGCAACAGTAATTAATATAAAGCTCTCGGCGCATGTTATGCTAACGTACGCCGCCTGAGAAGAAGCCATGGCGAGAAAGCGAGGTCGGCCTAAACGAGAGCCACTCGTGACGGTCGGCGGAGCCGTCAGTGCAATAGTAATTGTAGATACCTTAGCTAAAGGATCCACTCAGCAAGTAACAATACCAACTGGGCAACAATTGCAGCAAAATTCTCAGAACTTAGGAACACCTAGTAACACTAAAGGAACGATGAAAAGGATAGATCTCAGTGCTGTGCAGATGCATGTGACTTCATCATCGTGTGAAGGTACCCCAGCAAGTGCAGATCTGGAGGCTATGAAGAATAAGGTGGAAGCAGCAACAAATGAGCTAAAGATCAATGGAACAGTAACAACTGAGCAAAAGGAGGAGCTAAAAACACATGCAACAGTACCGGATAAGGAGAGAACATGGGCAAATCTGTTTGCTGGCAACAGATCTTCAGAAATGGTATGGTATTATCTTATATCCCTCCGGAAATTGTTGATGGTAACATTGTGGTAAAGTAGATAAAGAAGAAATTGACGAACATAATAAGAAATGGGAGTGTGCCCTAATTATTTATGTAATTGGGGATATGCCAAGGTATAAATTCATGGAGAAATATGTAGCTCAAGCCTGGAGTAGAGTGAGTATACCAGAGCTGTATTTACATGATGAAGGATATTACATAGCAAAGTTTGATACTATAGGGGATCTGAAAGATATACTCTATGGAGGACCTTATACCATTAATGGTAGACCAATGATTTTGAAACAATGGACACCAGAATTTGACATTAAGGTAGAGTTCCTGATGGAGATTCCTTTGTGGATCACTATACCTAATTTACCTATGAGTTACTGGGGTAATAAAACATTGAGCAAACTAGCAAGTGCTATTGGGAAGCCACTCTTTGCTGATGAATGCACCACTAAACAGAGTTGTATCTCCTATGCTAGGATTTTGGTGGAAGCTAATGTGACAAAAAAGCTTCCAACAGAATTGAAATTGCAAGAACCATCGGGGAAAAAGATCCAGCTACAGGTGGAGTATGAATGAAAACCACAATATTGTATAAACTGCATGAAGATAGGGCATGATTGTACAGTGGGAAAGAAAGTGAACAAAGAAGACCAGTACAGAGGAAGGCAGACATAGGGGAAAATTAACACAAGATGGCAAGTTAAAGGGCAAGGCCAACAACAACAAGCAGAGATAAATGAAGGAGCAAGTAAGCCAATAAGGCAGGATAATGATACTGCAGGTACAACCATTGAAAGTGCTGGAAAGCATAATGCAGCAAAGGATAAAGGAAAAGCAAAAGAAATGCAGAATGTAGACCAAAGTAAGGAGTGGCCAGCTTTGGCTAGCAATAGCAGAATGACATTGGGAAGAACAGCAATAGCTACAACAAATGTGTTTCAGATATTGCAACAGGAAGAGGGAAGAATGGAGGAAACCAGGCCACCTGATCTGAGAGGTGGAATAATCATTCACCAATGACTTGGTTATTCTGGAACATTAGGGGTTTGAATAAAAGATATAAACAAAAAAAAAATAAAGCAGTACATTAAAGATAAAAACATCAAGCTGATTGGTTTAGTTGAAACAAAGGTGAAAGAAGATAAAGCAGGGAAGGTGATTGGTAGAATAGTACCTGGATGGAATAAAATGACAAATTATGAATATAGGGGGAGACTTCAATGCAATTCTCAGTGTGCAAGATAGAATTTCTAAAGTGCATGTGAAAAGTGCTGATATAAAGGATTTTGCTGAGTTATGCCATGACATTGGTATTTCAGAGTTACCATGGAGAGGGGAGTATTTTACATGGACTAATAAACAGCAGGGTGATGATAGGGTGTGGAGTCGTATAGATAGGGTGTTTGGGAATGATCTATGGATGATGAACTACAATCACCTGAGCACTGAGTATGGGGAGCCTTATATTTCAGATCATAGTCCCATGTCTATCAACATAAGGCAACCAAGGAAACTAAACAAGAGCCCTTTCAGATTCTTTAATATATGGGCAAGTCATCCTGATTTTGAAATGATAGTAAGGGAGGAATGGAACAACAGCAAAACAACAGGGAAGATGGTGAGTATTTGGACAAAGCTTATAAGGATGAAAAGTCAATGTAGACAACTGAATGAAGCTGAGTTCAAAGGAGTAACTGAGAGGATAACACAAGCAAGGCAAACCATACATCACATTCAAAGTCAGATGCAAAATAATTATAGTGACATACTGCTAAGCCAAGAGAAAGAATGGTTGCACAAGCTGGAAACATGGTCAATGGTGGAAGAAAAGATATTGCAGCAAAAGGCAAGAGCAAACAGGATCAAGTTGGGTGATGCCAATAATAAGTTTTTTTCTGCAGTAATAAAGGAGAGGCAGCAGAGAAAACAAATAATGAAACTACAAATATTATCAGGGAGTACCATAACAGATCATGCAGCTATAAAGGAGGAGATTATATCCTTTTACAAAAGCTTAATGGGAACTAGAGCACATGTACTTCCAGCTGTGGACAAGATGATAATGAAGGAAGGGCCAACTCTAACACAACAACAACAACAAGACCTGATTGCTGAAGTTACTAGGCAAGAAATTGATGAAGCTCTGAAGGGAATTGGAAGTGATAAAGCACCAGGCATAGATGGTTATAATGCAGAATTCTTCAAGAAAGCTTGGCCAATGATCAAAGAAGAAGTGTATGCTGCAGTCAAAGACTTTTTCCACACAGGGGTGATGTTTCCAGCAATCAACTGCACTACTATCACATTGCTACCAAAGGTACCTAATCCAGTGACAATAAAGGATTTCAGGCCTATTGCCTGTTGCACATTGCTATACAAGCTTATTTCTAAAGTTATAACTGGTAGACTTCAGAAGATCATGCCATACATCATATCTGAAGCCCAAGAAGGATTTATCCCACGGAGAAAAATAGCTGATAACATCATTCTTGCTCATGAGCTAGTTAAGGCTTATAGCAGGAAACACATATCTCCTAGATGTATGCTGAAGGTTGACATAATGAAAGCATATGATTCAGTGGAATGGATGTACCTGGAACAACTGTTAGAATATCTATGTTTTCCCACAAAGTTCAATAACTAGGTGAGAGCTTGTGTATCAACAGTGAGCTATTCAATCATGATAAATGGGGAGATGACAAAGCCATTTGATGCTGCAAAAGGACTGAGACAGGGTGATCCCATATCACCATTTCTATTTGCAATTGCAATGGAATACCTAAGCAGGCTTCTTAATGGGTTGAAAAATGTTCAAGAATACAAGTTTCATCCTAGATGTGGTAAGTTAAATATAAGACACCTCAGCTTTGCAGATGACCTGCTGATGTTTGCTAGGGGTGATAGTAAGTCTGTCACTACTCTTCATGCTTTCTTTATGAAATTTTCTGCTGCCTCTGGACTTCTAGCTAATTCCAACAAGAGTGCAATCTATTTTGGACGAGTTGATCAGGATACAAGACATGTAATCTTGCAGAACACTGGGTATTCACTTGGGTAGCTACCTTTCAAATATCTGGGCATACCACTGGACACAAAGAAGTTATCAGCTATGCAATGGCAGCCATTGATTGATAGAATAGTTGCAAGGATCTCCTCTTGGACAGCTAGGAAACTATCCTATGCTGGAAGGGTGCAGTTAGTCCAAACAGTGATATTTGGTATCCTGTCTTATTGGTCCCAAATATTTATCCTACTAGCTAAAGTGATGAAACTGATAGAATCATATTGCAGAAGCTATATCTGGTCCGGTTCTAATACAATCACAAAGAGAACTCTGATAGCATGGGATAGAATGTGTTTGCCTAAGTCTGCTGGAGGATATAATCTACTGAATATTAGAATTTGGAACAGAGCTGCTGTCACTAGTGTCTATTGGGATCTTGCACAGAAGAAAGACAAAATGTGGATAAAATGGATCCACACATACTACATAAAAGGGCAAAGTTTAGTGGAAATGAACATTCCTCAACAGGCAAGTTGGATGGTGAGAAAGATCTTGGAAGCAAGAGAAGTGATTCAGCAAGTACCTACAGTTGAATACAGGCAGAGAACCTTAATGTTCCATAATGAAGCTATGCCCAAGGCAATATTCACTATGTGGATGCAATGTCATGAGAGATTACTGACAACAGATAGGCTTGCCAACTGGGGAGTTCAAGTAAATACAAGATGCTATTTGTGTAATGGAGCATATGAATCACATGCACATTTATTTGGTGAATGCAGGTTTACTAAAACAGTATGGGGAAGGCATATGCAATGGATACAAATTCAGGTAATTCAATGCAATCGTATACACAGATGTTGACATGGATAGTAATACAAGCCAAAGGAAAATCGTGTAAAGCCAAAATATTGAAAATGGTATTTGCTGAATATATTCATGGGATATGGAGGGAGAGAAACAACAGAATATTTGAAGAGACAACGCGGACAGCAGATCAAATATCAAGAGAAATAGCATGTGTTTACAACATTAGAGTTCAAGGAGGAATGAGGAAGAAGATGCAGCAGCTTATGTATTGAAAGCAATGTAGTAACTACCAGCTTCTTGTTTAATGCTTTATGTACTGCTTATAACATAGGATAGAGTTAGAATTATGTAAAGACTAAGTGAGTCGAGGATGACTCTACTGCTTCGTAATGGCTTCTTTGGTGATTAATGAAAATATAATTACCAAAAAAAAGAAATATTAGAATTCTGAATCCAAACTCATAAAGTTCAAATGTTGACCAAAGGAAAAAGAATTGGACATCTTCCGTCCAATCGCAGGTCTATCTGCGTGCACTTGGAATATTGTGATACTAAACTAAACTGAAGGCAACGAATCTACTCATAAATCACAATGAAACTCCTATTAGTTGAAGAAAATTGGAAAACGTTTTATTACTTAAGCTATCGTAAAGGAATTGTTACCATTTAGTTCACTAAATGGAGTGGCGGAGGCAGGATTACCGTCAAGGGGTTCAAAAAAAGGAAAAAGTTAAAAAGGTTGTAGCTGGTGGGAATAGAACCAATAAGCTTACAAAGATTTGAACCCGCTTGACCATTAAGCTATGCTTTTGGGCTGTGAAAGGGATTCAAGACATAATATATAGAGATAAAAAAACAAATTTTACTTTATACGTACGGTATAATTTTCCGGGAAGGGGTTCAAGTGAACACCTAACTAACATGCAAATTGAAATAGTACCAGTATTTGATACTGCTTCAACGCGGATATACAGTTTGGGGTATGAATTTAGCAGAGCTCAATAATTTTGACCGAAATCCTATATTCGTCTTGAGAAATCAATTTTAATATGTACAATTATACTGATACTGAATCATAAACTTCGAATACACCTTAATTTGTACTACTTAATTACTCCCTCTAAGGTAATAATGCATTCACATGATAATCTCTCGGAGCTGACGACGAGCTCGCCACCGCCACCGGCAGCTCGCCACACTTATGGCACCTGGTAACCACTGGGATTTGCCGGCACGAAGGGCAAGACGAGTGCGATCCCAGCCACGTGTCAATGCATCCTACGTGGAATCCATGGCCGCACTGCGGCAGCACTTTAATTTCGTCTCCGATTGCGAATTCCGTCAGGCAAATTGCACATTCTGAGAATTCCGAAGATCGTTCGAGTGTGTAACTGAACTTCGGAAGTGATTTGAGGACCTTTTTCTTCAAACCTTTGTTCGCCGGAGGAGAAGGAACAGCTGAATTTCCGGTGGCGAACCGTCTGATCCAGGCGCAGCGAGCAACGGAAACAAGGCCGAGTACGCAAATTAGCCCGCAGAGGAGGGCAGCTAGGATTACGAAGAAGTCGGAGTCGACGGTGTTGATTCCCGAGGACTGCATCGACGGCGGTGCTGGTGATGCCGGCGAATTAGTTCCGCCGGGATTAAAACGTGATAGATCAGTACTCATGTGGAAGGTCTGAGTGGAAGCTAATGGAGGCGGCGGTTTTCAAAGCGTAAAGTTAGTTGGTTTTTGGCTGGTACTTGTGCTTAATCAGTTTTTGATGGACTTTTATAGAGGAACAGAGATTTTATCACTTCCTCCTATGGTGTTCGTTGGTCAGTAGGGTACGGTATTTCGGTTCGATATTTTCGATATTCGGTTTCTTAAAATCTCATACCATTACTGTACCTAATTAAATTCGATATGGTTCGATTTTTCTCCTTTCGGTTTCGGTTTATTCGGTTCGGTAACTTCGGTTTATTCGGTTTGAATATTAACTAGTGCATAGAGCTATATACTCTAATATTCTTAATTAAAGTACTCAAAAATACAAAACTGAAAATGTTTGTTGACAAAAATTTTGTCCAAAACTAGCAAATATCGACCCAAATAGAGAAAATTATACATAAAAGAATATTTGATCATTAAAAATGTCTTGTTAGAGTTAATTGATGAACCTTGAGAATAAAGGAAAGTAAAATTTTAGATTTTTTATATTTATGTTATAATTGATAATATGTGTTGTGTAATATAATATATATTTCGGTACGGTATCGGTATTTCGGTATTTTATCTTACCATACCTAATACCAATTTTTTTAAAAATTTAAACCAAATACCATGCTAAATACCAAAATACCGTATACCAAATACCAAAATTTTCGGTTTCGGTACGGTAATTCGGTATTTACCAAATTATGCCCAGCCCTACTTCCTCCCATTTTACTATTTCAGTACTCATTTCATCCTATGTGATATGCTTTTTATTTACACTGTGCCAAATAAAATATTATACTTTTATATTTAAAATTAGACTTTAAACTTTAAGTATATTTTATGAAATTAAATAATTTATAGCCACATAAATATTTTGATTTGTTTTAATTTATATGTTTGAGATTTTCTTCTTCTTAAAGTCGGTATATAGTCAAATATTATCACATAAATGAGGGCTCTGGGAGTATCACATTTTCTAAAATGGAAAAGGACCAAATGTGCTCCTAACCTATTGGATTTGGCTTAAAAATACCCTTCTTCCTACTATAGGATCACAAATGTACTTAACGTTATATTTTGGCTCAAAAAATAGGGTCAATTAATTTTTTGGCTCTTTACAAATTTGCTTTTAGTTTTATGAACCTACCTCTTTTTTTTTTTCTACACTTGGGAGATTTACTTTTACACGTAAGAAATCTGTCTTTTATACATAAGAGATCTAAAAAGGTCATTTTCTTAAATTCAAAATTGTAAATAGGCATGATGTACAAATAGCATCAAAAAATACCCTTAAGACTAACAATTGACTAACTGACTATGTAAGCCTTTATAAAGATCCATGTGGCACTCTTCGATTGGTTCACTGACGAGCGCAACACAATACAGAATTGATGCTAACTCGCTAGCTAAAGATAGTACAGTAAAATTATCGTCTCCATAAGGATTGGTTTTAAATAACGTTGTAGTAACTTCTAGGTTAAACGTTATTCAGGATAATTAACACTTTGATTCGAATGATTATTGATTAAAATTAACTATTAAAATTAAAGCAAAAAAAAAATTGATCACAGAAAGACAATAGTTGAGCAACAAAGAAATCATCAATAGGAGAAATAAGGGTAATGACATGATAGGTGCAAGATAGCTATTCGGGATCTAACTCTAGTTAAATTCACTTCTAATGTTCTAATAATTCTCACGAATTCACTCGATGTTGACATGTAATTTTTGACCCTCCCCAAGATTTTACACATTTTAGCGTAAATAGTTAGTTTAGGTTTAGTATCGCTATTTTAACTAGTTTTGGCCCTTTTACTTTATTTTATCACAAAATTGAAAAATACCAAAAAATAGTCTCACAATATAATATTATTTATTTTAATTAATTTAAGATTAGTTTTATATTTTTATATTATAAATTTTATATAATTTGAGAAGGAAGAGTGAGTTTTGGGTTGATTTATCCCATTTTAATGAGTTTTGCAGTCCATTTATAATCTTTGGCCCAATTTTAAGGCCCAATAAGACCTAGCCCACTTTGCCTTCCTCTTTTAATCTCCGTTACTCCTAATACCCTAAAAGAACGAAAACCTATTTTCTTATAAGACAACAGCATTTTTCCATCAACCCTAGCTCCCAAGAGAGGAGGAGATCTTCTTCTTCAATAAAAGAAGACCTAAACCTTAAGACAAAAAGAGAAGCCATCAACGACCTCACACACACACACACTAGCGACACACCACCGTAAAGAAGCAGTCGTCATCCTCGCCGGACCAAACACCAAAAAACCTAGAACCCTAGCTTTTTCTTAGACCACTACTGCCGTCGCCGCACACCCATCATAACTCCGGCGACCACGCATGCACACAGCAGTCCCCTCCCCGTCGCCGTTTCTCACCATCCCTGAACACCAACCAGCTACCACTACCCCATCTCCCTCAACTGAACAAAACTTCACACACACACGCACACGCACACGCACACGCTGAAGCAACAGAGAAGCAAAAGGCAGCGAACGAAAAACTAAGGCTGTATTCTGGTCCAG